TACTACTACTACTACTACTACTACTACTACTACTACTACTACTACTACTACTACTAGTGCTTCTTCTTCTATCACTACTACTTCGTACACTGCACACTCGTCCCGCACCTCCGTATATCCGTTCCGCACATCCGTACCGCACATCCGTGCATCCCCAAAGGCTTGTTTGGGCTGCACAGGGTCAACGATCGACCCCCACGACCACACACATGCTGGTGTTCGCGCCCATATACCATGGCATTGCGATCGCAGCGCGCCCCCCCCGCCCTGGCGTGCCAGACTCGACCCAGGCATTACCGTTACCCGCCCTCCCCCTCGGCAACGACCGCCACCAGGAACAAGTGGCATGCGTTCCCTGGCTCTTGCACGATCAGGTCGCGATGGGGACCTGGGGCGAGGGCCAGAGGCGGGCCAGGGCAGAGGGGACGAGTGACGATCGCGAGAGGGGAGAGGGAGAGAGGGGGAAGCCAGAAGACCAGGGGGCAGGACAAACAACCGCTACGAACGACCACGACGAAAATACAGGGTTCTTCGGCCCACTTGGGCCAGGGAGGCCGGGAGGGGTGGAGGATGCCAGGGAGGCCAGGGGGGGGGGGCTCCCCGACCAGGCCCACGGAGAGGGGGGGGGGAGCAGAGAGACCAGGGAGGGAACGAACGACCACGGCGAACGACCACGAGGACATCCGCAGCCGAGGGAGGGAGGCCAGGGAGCTGGGGGTAGGTGGGAGGGGGGAGGCCGGGGACGGGACGAACGACTACGGCGAACGACCACGACGAAATTTAATGGTCCCGCGGCCCGGGTAGGGGGAGGCCAGGGGGACCAAGGGTGGGTGGGGACGAGAGGCAAGGGGGGAGGAAGCCAGACCACAACGAATGACCACGACAAAAAAAAAGGAATCCGCGGCTCGGTGGGGGGAGCCCAGGGAATTGAAGGGACGGGGGACAGAGTGGCCAGGGGGGGGAGGACGAACGACCACGACGAATAACCACGACGATGATACAGAGGCCGGAGCTGAAGAACATAGCTGGGTAAGAGAATAATGTTTCTTTTGGCGAAAGATCCAGCCAAAGGCAGTTGTGAGCACCGCGCTTGTGAGTATCGCCTGCAGTGGAGCCCCCTAACAGGCAACGAAGCGTGTGAGAGGTGTGGTGGAATTGGCCTGGGGGCGCATGCGGGCCCTGCCACTGGTGCCTTCGGTGAAGTCCCAAATGGGGCCACGGAGCGTGTGAGGTGTGTGCCGAAGACGCATGAGAGTTGTGCCATTGGAATTTTCGGTGGAGCCCCCTGAAGCGCCACGAAATCTTCGAGGGGTGTGCCAAACTGGGCGGCGAACCGCATGCGACTCGCCCCCTGAGGGCTTCGGTTGAGCTCCCAGTGGGGGCACGAAACGTGTGAGGGTTCATTCGAAATGCCCCTCCTGGGAGCTTCGGTGGAGCTTCCTGCGGTGCCACGAGCCCGTGTGAGGGGTGTTCCGAAATGGGTATGGAACCGCATGCGACCCCCGCCATTTCCTCCTGAGGGCTTCGGAGGAGCTCCATATGGGGCCATGAAATGTGTGAGGGATGTGCCGAAACGGGTGAAAACCGCATCCCCCTCCCCCTGAGAGCTTCGATGCACAAACGCGGCGCTTCCCGTTGTTGTCGAGTTGTCTAGTCAGGTCTTCGAAATCATTTTCGGGGGTCTGGGCGATCCTGAGGCCCCAAAGTGCCATAGGCAGCTACACCTCGAACCGTCTGGACCGGCCGCGTGAGGCTTGAGCTATTTCGGGAGCCTCGAGACGGGGGTCAGTGCAGACGGGGGTCAGCCAGAGCGCCGGATCTTGCAGGATCCTGCAGCGCCAGGGTCGCATTGAACCGGGTTTGGGCGCAGGATCCTGCAGGATCCTGCAGGATCTTTCGCATTGACCCGGGTTTGGGTGCAGGATCTTGCAGGATTTTGCAGGCCTGATTGACCCGGGTCTGGATTGACCCGGGTCAGAAGATCCCCGACTATTCCAAGAGAATTCGGAGACGGCCAAGGGGGATATTGCCCCCCAACCTTGTGCCGCACACATGCTTCGGGCAATGATCTGCGACTCCCCCCTCTTGGACGCCCCCCTTGTGGACCCCCCGGGCAAGATGATCCTCATCCCTCCAGATGTCATAGGGCCCTTCTCTTCGTCTTTTTCTGGGCCTTCGGGGGCTGCCCTCGTCGCCATGGCTGGCCGCGGCTCGGGACAGACTTGATTGGTGTGAGCAGGTTCTGGTGTGGCAGCGAAATTAAGGGAAGCGCAAGCGTGGATCAAGGCGCGTGGATTAGCGACGGGTTCCGTTTCCGTATCACATCGGTGCGTTTCGTCGCCAAATCGGGCGGCATTGGTGCCACGTTTCCGATCCGTAAGTCTTGCGCCCCACGCGGCCAAGAGGGGTGTGATGGCTTGGGGAGGGGATATCATATTTGGTGCCGTGAGATCTCCCCGTATTTCATGACCCGCTCTGGTTATTTCCATACGTCTTTTCCCCCCCTCCCCCCCTTGGGCCGCGCACCCTCGGGCCATGAGTTGCGAGCCCCCCTCTTGGACAACCCCGATCCACCCTCAGGTGTTTTGTTTTGCCGTGCACCGCTCGAAAGGCTTCGGACTGGGCGTCCAAATTGCGTACATCCTCACACCATGTCCTGATTATCCATGTTGTGCTAAATGTGAATACAGTCGGACCGAGGTGGAAGATCGAGGTCGGTTCGTGGAGGGTGCCCTGGTGTTTTTCGTGTCTGTGGGATGTTCTTGTGCACCCTGGGGGGATACCCTTGGATGTTCTGTGTGCTTTGGCCGGCGGAGGGTCTTTTGTTCTTGAAGGATGTTCTTCTGGCTTAGGTCTGGCTGTATGCTAGCCTGGCGAGTAGGGGTCGGTTATACGATGCTCACGCCAGGCGATGGTTGGATGCCACCGCCGCTGCTCCTGCCGGACCCCGACGGGCCGACGCTGGACCTCGCGAGGGGGAGGGAGAGGTAGACTCTGGGCTCGGGGTGCCTCCTCCCTCCTCCTCCCTCCTCCTCCCTCCTCCCCTTCCTCCCTCCTCCTCCTTCCTTCCTCCTCCCCTTCCTTCCTCTTCCTTCCTCCCTCCTCCTCCTCCCCTTCCTCCTTCCTCCTCCCTCCTCCCCTTCCTCCCTCTGTCCTCCCTCCCTCCTCCTCCCCGCTCCTCCTTCGGCTCCTCCTCTCCATCCTCGTTCTCTTCTGTCTGCCATCGGCGCCCCTGTGGCGCTCCGCGCCCCAGGGTTGGGGTGCGGAGGCGTCCCCGGGCCACTCGGGAAGCCTGTTCGGGGCCGGCTGGTCCTGCTCGGGAGGCCTGTCGAGGCCGGCCGGGGCCACCTGAGGCTGTTGTTTGTGCGCAGCCCGAGGTCTTTCCCGGGAGGGAGAGAGAGAGGCTCCAGGCTCGGGGCGTATCTACATCCAAGCGTGTTCAGGATCTCGGGTATCGGTGGACACGGATGCCAGGGGCACCGTTCGGGGGGGCGCACGAGCCGGAAGTAGGACTCCCAGATCCCAATCTATTTCAAGCGCCTTCCTACTTCAAGAATCGATCTGATGTTGCTGTGTTGTGTTATTCTCCGGGAGGGCCGGAGCCCAATCTAATTGATCCGCCTTTTTGCTTTCTGTTTCTGACCGCTTCTTTTGACCGACGTGTATGCTTAGGAGGGGTCGCATCGATCACCCAATTCATGTGGTTCTAAAGGGGACCCCAGGGAAAGGGGCTCTTGAGACGGGCGATGCCGACTTCTCAACGGCTTCGCCCACAAGGTCGTCGCGGATCGCTCGTTTTCGCCCACTGGAATTCTCAAATGTGAAGCCGCGGTCTCGAAAGTTCCTTCCGCCGCGGGAAATCGAAACCCGAGTTACCCCGGACCCGAGTTACCCCGGATAACTCGGGCGCCCAACCTTCTAGGAACCGCATCACCAATCACCGAGTCATCGCCGATGGGGGCCCGATAGCCCTTCCCTGCCCAGGAGCGTGCGGATTTGCTATCGGGGGCCTACTGCCGATCCAACGCCGAGTCCAGGTCGATGCTTCCCCCCATGAGCCTGTCCGGCCCTATCGCTGCTCCTCAGGGAGAGATTCTCAACTCGAGGTTTACCCATGTCCAGGCTTGCTTCCCAGACGTGCTCGCTTCCCAAACGTCATTGTGCTTCCATACATTCAAGAATGATTGGCATACTGGGTGTATTGTCCACCTCGCATGACGCGAGCGGCGCCTTGAGGTCATAAGTCCTCGAAGGCCCCGCGCGCCTTGCCCCTCCTGAAGTCTCTTGGCTGTATGGAAGGGGCTGCGCTAAGGTGGCCAGTGTCATAAGAGCCCCACGTTCCCTATGTTGTGCATGCTCGTGCGGTGTGTCAAGACAAAGATTGTTGGCCGAAGGCGTGTAGTGGCCCACTGACCCGAACCCCTGGATTTGCAATTGACTGTACTTGTGGTGTCTGGGGATCTCCAGGATTCTCACATCAACATGGTTCCTGTCATTGCATTACAAGCTATTTCTGTTGGGCCTGGGGCAGTAGCGCGGGGGCGTCTGGGTTCACTGCGGCCCCGCGTGTCGCGCCGCAACCAGCAAACCTTGTTTCGGTGCAGCGCCGAGGGCAGGATCCTTGAGGGCCCCAGTGGCGGCGTAACACCCGCCGAAGCCCATTTGTGCGCACATCGCATCGGGGTCGACATGTTTGGTTGTGCGCGCGCATCTCGTGTGAGTTCTGGCGCGTCTGGCCCCGTTCCCCTGTTAGTGCTTCTTTTGAATGCGCGCGAGTATAGCGCGCAGCCAACATGCGCCGAACATCGATTTTCCGATCGTTCGGGCGGGCTGCTTTGCAAACTCTCCTTGGGCCCCACATGGGCCGACCCCCTCGCTTGCATCCCGCGCGAGGCCACTATTATTCCCCACGGCCATCTTACGCCGAGCCAGGACGAAACAGTTGCCTTTAAAGAAGGGGTCGATGGGCTGGATCGAGCAAAACTCAAGTCATCGTAGGCATGGGGGTGCCAGAGCGGGCTCACGGGGGCCAAGAGGTTGGGTTGCGGCTTGTTCTCACCACGGCGCAGTTCGTCCTGGCAAACCAGGGCCAGGCCTGCACGGGCAAGGCGCTGAAGTACGGACCGTTCTGGGCTCACGAGGGGTTTTGGCTTTCGGTCCGTCCTCTAGATCTGGGCAGTGGAACGTAGTCGTGGCCGACGCGCGCCGTGGCCATACAACGGCATTTCGTTCTTAATTCAGCGTTCCGCATGGTAGCACGATGGCTGTACGTGGTAGTTCCTTCACATATGCCCCCCTTTCAGGACCAGGTACGTCTCTGGGCTGGGGCCCAATGCCAGCGCACGGCGGGGACCGCTTCGACCGCGGCCGCCGGCTTGCTGGAGGTGCCAGCCGGCTCCGTGACGGCAACAGAGCGCGTTGGTGACTCTGCCGCTTGCAGCACCGACCATCCAGACCAAGATGGACCACGGTCGGCGGCCTGCTGAAGTCAGGGCGTTCGCCCTCGAGAATCGTCGTCGCCACGGCTGGCTTTTCATAGGAATTCTGGTCAGAGCGTCTTTTGGAATTGATCCGGGGAGTAGCGGTGTCGGTACCGTTTTATTCCGTTCAACAGCGGCCGCTGTTGGTTTGGGACAGCATTTGTTGCTGGGCATTGTACTCATTTCGGGCGTCCCCCAAAACCTTGGCATCGCTCGGACGTGTGCATTTTTCCTTCGGCGAGGACAATCGAGGAGCATCCTTGATCATTTGGCGAAAGAACCACGCACGAAACCAAAAAAAGCACACGGAATGGACGTCCGAGCGATGGCGAGAGAAGGGTGGCGCCAGTCGTAGGAGGGCGAGTCGAGAATGGCGGCCCTGCTTGCCGTGCCTCGTCCCTCTTTTTGGGCGTCCGGGAGGTTTCTCGTCGCCGCGGATGGATCCGCCCCTGGACCGGTCTGGATATGGATTTGGAGCGGATTTCGGCCAGGGAGGGAGAGCCGCTGCTACCTAAAGTGGCCCTCCAAACCAGGGATCGAGTTCAGTCGGGCCTGTCCCTCCACAGGAGGAATGTTCAAAAATAGTCCAGAACAATACGGGGACGACTTTTCTATCATATGTTTTATTGTGTTCAAGTGTTTTTGATGTTTTATGTTTCGCCTATGGGGGCGCGCCTGACCTAAGGATGGAGCTTGCTAGGAGGGCAGAGGGGTTCCTTGGAAGTCTTCCTTGGAACAGGCAAGAGAATGCACAGGTATGACTTTACGCAGGCCCGTGTGGCTGTTTCGGATCTGCGGTGGCCGCCCTTAGCAGCGTCTCCGGCGCCGCCCCTGGCGCGCTCCGCGCGCCAGGGGGCGCACGGAACAATTTTATGTTTGTGCCGTTTTCGCAAACGAAATCGAAGTGGGCATCCGAAAGTTCGTGTTCACGCGTTTTGCCCCAAACAGTGCTTCCATTTAGGGGTTCTCACCCTGGCTGATTACCAGGGTTCCTCCATGTTGCCGACCGTTGCCGTGTCGTTGTCGCCCACCGTGCTTGGGGGGTCTTGGTGCAGGTATCGCCACGCGTCGCCCAGTGCTGCCTCGTCGTCGCGTCGTTGCCACCCGGCTCCTCGTGTGGCTGTGATGTGGCTCGTCCTGTTGCCGCCCGTTGCCGCCGCAGTGCCTCGTCGTTGCCGCCCCGCGCGCTGTGTGGGTATGCCGAGGTCGTGCCGAGCTGCCCCCCGTGCCCACCTCGTGGGCGCGTCGTGTTCTGAGCTTTACCACGGCATAGGTGTACACCAGATCGCCAGCACCGCTTGGCTTACACAACGTCAACACATCACCCAGTCACCCCACAAGTTTCCACCTCCAGGTCACACCGCGCACCTCACACGACATAGCTCACACCGCACAGTTCCCACCTCCACAGCTCACACCACATAGCTTACACTGCATAGCTCTCACGACATAGCTTCCACCGCGTAGCTGCCACCTCCACAGTGCAATATCACTGTTTGCTGTCCACGCCAGCTAACATTGGTTCATCTATTCCGGCCTTCTAGCTTAGGGCGCCTTCGGTGAGCTTTCCGATTCCCTCAAGGGCGCAGCAGAAGCTGGCGGAGGACGTCCTGGAGAACCACTGCCAGCCGGCCGCTCCGGACTGCGCGGGTGGCGCGCCGTACTCGCAGAAAACAAGCGTGGACGCGCTGTCTGCGAAGGGAGCCAACTCTGTGAGGCTAACCCGGACGCAGCGCCGCAGGATGCAGCGCAAGGGCTTGGAGAGCCAGTCGGGCAGGGATAGCCCTGAGCCAATCGTCGGAGAAGCAGGAACGGCACAACCATAACCTCGCAGAGCTCCGAGCGGATTTCTTGCCCACCTGGCGGCGCCACCAGCGCACCCCCTGGCGCGCTCCGCACGCCAGGGAAGGGGTCCATCGCAGATCGAAGAAGTCCGCTCGGAACTCCGAAAGTGAATGCCTGTGCCGTGTTTGCTTCTCCCACTATCATTAGAGCCGCTGGCCTGTTAGAGGTCAGCCAGGGGCCTTTCGCAATCTCGTTGTGCCCCTCACCGAGCGCATGGACGTGAGCGCTCGTCCTCGATGACCGTACAGGGCCCTCGCTCCTTCCGATGCCATGCTCTAGTCATCCACTATCAACCATAATTCAATCCTATAGCCCACAGTCATACTTGATAACTAGGACCAGTAACTTTCCAAGGGTGCCTCTGCGTCTTCGCCTCTTCGGCCCGTCCGTAGCTGCTTTCACTGGCCAGCCTCTTGGGCCTGGCGTCCATTCGGCAAGTAAGGAGGGGGGCTCGGTTAGGGTACCCTTGCATCTTTGGGATTCGGGCCGCGCAACGCTCAACAAGTCCAACTTGGGCGTCTAAGCCCTTTGCGTCCTGACCGCGCGTCCTTATAACCAAGTTTCATTGCACGATGCGCAGGAACAACGCTGACAGACTGCCGGCCATGTTGCCTCCTCCCGAGCCTTGTGAGTGTAGCCGTTCTGCATGCTGGGGGGCATGGCAAGGCTTTACCGTGATGCGGGGAGTCCGCTTTTTGATCAGGATCTCTGAAGCGATGTTGTCCTGATGGCGATCTACTTCACGCGATTATACAGTTTCGCACATCCGACCGCAAGCTCGCACGATCAGTATGGCACTTCTCCCTGTGACGGCGAAGAGTAGGCGTGCTCCACAGGTGCGAGTAAGTCGGTGCCCGCATGTAGCTTTGCGCACGAGCGACAGCCAGTGCACGGCTGATGGACGTTTGTGCCACCTTGCCCTAGCGGTCTTTTGGGTCGAGAGGGCTTTGCTTTGGTAGCTGGGCCAAGAGCAACAATATTTTATTTCGCTATCTTTGTGTCCAGCTTCTGGCGCACGGTTTTACCGCGCCATCCTAGGGGAATGGGGCAGGCACTCAACGAGGATCTTGGGGGAGGGGCTGGAAGAGCGGGTGCACACGCCCTAGGGCTGTGGTTTTGAAGCTAGGAGCCTCCCTTGGCCTGTAGCGTGGGCAGGCGAGAGCCTCAGAACAGGAAACGAGCAGTGTCAACCTGATGGACGCAAGCCGTCAGTGACGAGCATGTCCACGTCCACATGCTCGCGGTCCAGACGCACGATCGCGATCCCATGTATGCGCCGCGTCCGACTTGTGCGCTGGCGCCAAGCAGCGGTGGACTACAGCCTGCATCCATGGGGTCGTCGCGCGGAGTCCTGACCGCGAGGACGTGGGCACGAACATTTGGAAAAGAACACATTGCATGATCAAATTGTCGAAGTTCCGCGCGGATTTTTTGGACCTGCTCTGGAAACCCCGGGCGGCGCCTCCAGCGCCGCCGCTGGCTTGCTCCGCGCGCCAGGGAATGGGTCCAGCGCAGGTCCGAGAAATCCGCGCGGAGCTCCAAAAGTTCATGATTGTGCAGTTTTTTCCTCAGTTCATGCTTGCCGCTCGCGGACCAAGGACGGGGCACCGCTGGGCCTCGGGCGCTTTCCTGTCAGCCTTGCCAGGCCCGTCGGGCGCTCCTGGCGGCAATGGGCCAGCTGGAGGTGCCGCAGTAACGGCCGTTTCTCGGAGCAGCCTGCAGCCTGGTGGCGGAACGTACCGTTCGCCAAGCCTCCGCCTTTCTTGCTCTGGTGCCGTGATAAAATCACGACGGTCGAGACCCTACATGCAAAGGAGGGCGAGTTGAGACAACGGCAGTTGGCCTTGCGCAGGCCCCCCTCGTCACCACGGCTGGACGCAGCTCGCTCGGAGAAGGGGTGCGTTTGGATTCCGGGAGATGTCCAGGGACCGAGTTTGAGCTGCCGTTGACGAGGATAAGTCCGTTCCAGAGCATTCCCAGAACGCTCTCAGAGCGCTCTGGAGCGCTCTGAGATGGCCGCGGCGCCCGAGACACCCTCCTTACGTTGCATCATTGAAGGACCTTGCTTGTCCCCCCAATTGATGTTTTTTTTTGTGCCCGACGCGGGCTCGAGGAGCCCGTTTCTTTATTGCTTGGGGCATGACAGGCGTCATGGCCCCTGCTCCCCCCCCCTATGACGTAACGCTCCCCCCCCCCCAGTGCGTTCCGGGCACTGCCGCCGTGCGCATTGGGATCCGCGTAGGTGTCCGCGTAGGAATCCGCATAGGTGTCTGGTCCGCAGGCGTCGTCGTCGTCGTCGTCGTCGTCGTCGTCCGTCGTCGTCGCTCGTGGTTCGTCGCTCGTGGCTCATCGTCGTCGTGCGCGCGGACGCGGTTGGAGCCTGTTTTTTAGTCCGGGCCGATGACGGCAATCATTGGGGGGGAGGGGGTCGATGACGTCACGTTTCGCGCCGGCGGCGTCTGGGAATGCTTAGGAATGACGGAGGACGGGTAGCACGAACGTGTAGGTGGCGATATGCACCACAACGCCTGAGTACATCACAGTGCCCGCGTGCACCACAGCGCCTGTGTACACACCGCCGATGTACAGCACAGCAGCCGCGTGCAACGCAGCGTCAGTTTGTGCCACCGTGCCTGCGGGCACAGCAGCTCCTGTGTACACCACAGCGCCTCCGTACACCACATCAGCCGTGCGCAACGCAGCACCAGTGTACACCACAATGCCTGCGTGCATTGCAGTGCCTGTGTACGCCACGGCGCTCGTGTGTACCTCATCAGCCGTGCGCAACAAAGCACCATTGTTATGTATAGAATTTCAGAAGGATTCCTTGTGACAAAATGGAGCGCGTGTGGATTCCAGAGAAAACAATGGAAAACAAATCCTCATGGACAAAGGAGCGCCGCTGGAATCTACGAGTCCCCCCGAGTCCGCCCGCATCACCCTAACTCCCATTTGCGTCCAGGAGGCTCCAGCTAAACTGGCCGTCCGAGAACACAGTGGACCGATTCAATCGACCATTTTGCGGTGCACGGTGAGATGCGCACGTGCGCTGCAACGCCAAACCGCACGACAGGGGTAAGGAGGAGTAGGAGGAGGAGGAGGAGGAGGAGGAGGAGAAGGAGGAGGAGGAGGTGGAGGTGGAGGAGGGGGGAGGAGGGAAAAACGTCGCATTCGATTCTCAAAACTTTCCTGACGTGGCGTTTAGTTGTCCGCAGCAGATCCTGACGCACATGCTCCTTCTACCTGTCCTATGCACGCAGGCACTGCGGTGTACACCAGCGCTGCGTTGCACGCGGATGCTGTGGTGTAGATAGGCGCTGTGGCGTGCACAGGCGCTGCGGTGCACGCAAGCACTGTGGTGTACACAGGCGTTGTGTTGCACATGGCTGCTGCGGTGTATGTACACCGGCGCTGTAGTGCTCCCAAGTGTTGTGGTATACACGGGCGGTGCGTTGCACACGGCTGTTGCGGTGTACGCAGGCACTGTGGTGCACACGCGCGGTGTGGTGCACGCGAGCGTTGTGGTGTACACAGGCGCAATGGGCAAATCGCCACTTACATGCTGCTCGCGTCGTCGTCGTCGCTCGTCGATCGTTGCTCGTCGCGTCGTGCGCGCGGGCGCGGCTGTGGTCCCTGAACCACACGGCGGGGGGGGGCGTCACGTCATACCCCCCCCCCCCCCCCATGACCCTCGTCATCGCCGAACATAAAGACACGCGCTCGAGGCGGACTCGACGCGGATTTGGCGCGGACTCGACGCGGATTCGACACGGATTTGACACGGATCCGAAGAGTCCGACATGGATTCGACACGGATTCGACGCGGATACGTAGGGCCGCGACGAGACAGAGACGGTCCCCGAGATTGCAACATAATTCACGCGATTTTATCCTCGTCCTGGCTTCGTTTTGTGGTGTTATCCCTTCTCTCTTCGCTGCCCGCCCCCATCCCATGCCCATAGCTCCAATATCGTGCTCCCCCATCCCTCCTCCTCCTCCCCCTCCTCCTCCACCTCCACCTTCTCATCCTCATCCTCATCCCTGTCTCCTCCTCCTCCTCCTCCTCCTCCTCCTCCTCCTCCACCTCCGATCAGCAGCTTCACACGGTGCACGATCGGGGCCCCACGATGGGGGGGCCCACGGCGAGCTACCGGCCGGGTCCTGGGTGCGGGGGGGGGCCGGTCTCCCTCCTCACTGGGCGTGGGAAGTACAGTCAACCCGCACAGTAAGGATCAAGCAGTGGTGAAGCGTCACGGCGTGCCTATAATTAGGCCCACCAAACATGGTTCTACGAATCTTTGGTGGTGTCTACGAAATGTTCTGAGAACATGTCTGGCCGACATTGTCTTGTTTTAACACATTGGGTCCATGTTCCAAGAACACAGTTGTTGTTCTTAGAACATGTTGGGGTTCTAAGAAAATTTCGTGGTAGGCCTATAGGAATGCCGGGACGGTCGGTCCCTGCTCAAGAGGATGAGTGACTGTCCGGTTGGGCGACTTCTGAGCCTTCTGAGAAGTTACATTTTTTCTCACCATCGAGGGTAAACGAACCCCGAGCCCTAGTAGCAGAGTGAAGACGTGGCCTCATTTGAGGGCCCTGTCCTTGCATGGTGGATGATAGATCTGGGTGGTTTCGTTCGGCAGATCTTCAGAAAAGACCCCATATCCCTGATGTTTCTGGCCTTCCTGACTTCGGCCGCCTTCCAAAGGGTTCGGGGTCCTTTTACGCCTGGTCATCTCACTTCCACCTCCCGTTCTCTCGACGAAAATGAGGCCGCTCGGGGAAGGGGAGATACTCGGGGAGTCACCCCCGGGGGGCTACAGTCAACCCGCGTAGTAAGGATGAGCGACGTTCCCCTTCGGCCCTTGGCGGGTTTCCTGGATTGGCGGTGGCCCTCCCCCCCCTGGCGCGCGCCGATCTGAGAGATCCGCGCGGACCTAATATGCAGTTCATGGGGGCAAGGGATTGAGATAATGCCCC